AAAAAAAAAAAAAAAAAAAAGAATCGGCAACGCGTATCGGATAACGATCGAAAGGAAAACACGCGTAGATTTGCAACGACCTTGAGCGACTCGACTCAGCGGGCGTTCGTAAGAAAGTGACGTCTTCGCGCGAGCACACGTTTCACATAGGTGTTACCTCCACCATGGAGCAGAGCGACGAGATCGTGATCGGGATTGCGTATAGGTGAGAGGCCTCACCGTCGGCAGGGTGTCCCGTTAGGGGACCTAGAAGGCCCACAAGGGGCCACAGCCAATCGTATCAACCTGGTTCCGACCACACCGGAACGTATCCTCGCCCGATGAGGATCGGCTGCCAACCGGTCGGCCCGATCGCTCAACCGGTATCGTTTATCTGTCCAATTCACGCCCGTTTCTCGTCGTCCGCTCGCCTCGAATATCGAGCACCAACGCGCGGAAAAGTCGAAATCGTTTCGTAGCGAGAATGTGAACGCCAATCTTTCGCTGTAAGTACACATACACGTCTGAAGAGGATTCGTTCCCTTCCTTATCTTCTTCCTATTTTCGAGAATCAAAAAATTTTGCTTCTTATTTACGCGGCTCAAGAATCGACAATCGAAAGGGAGATAGAGACGTCTATTTTCATACGCAATCGTAAAGCTTTTATCTTCCTCTCTTGTTACTCGTTTCGGTTTCCTCGGTGGTCTACCACCACACGCGTTCCTCGTCAAACTCTCGAAACGATAATACGTAAGTCTCGTCGAGGATCGTATTGTTCGACCTTCCTCCTTGCCTTGTTCATCGAAAACGTTCACCCTGTCACGATCGGGCGTGAGTTTCGCGCGGCGATCACGATCGATCGTGACTCACGCGAGGATAGACGGCGAAAGTTGCCGATATACGAATAATCGGGTACGGTTCGCGTTTACGCCAATTAAAATTGAAGGTGGCGTTGTTTCACGCGAGTTTCAGGAAGAAACGTGGAAGAACGGGTGAAGGTAAAAATGATGGGCCGTACGAAGTTTGAGATTCGTCGCTCGTGTTTCATTTTCAGGAAACACTGCCAGACCGTTTGTCGCCTTGAGGATCTCGAGGGGTGTTCCAGCCATGGGCCGCACGGGATACACGTGCATCAGACACGTTTTCTGCTCCCTCAACGTTCTCATCTGGGTACGTAACCATTATTTTCCATCCATCGTACGTATCATCGATTTACTACGCAAGCAGAATCAGGAATAATTACTATTATTTTAAATTCGTATTATTTTAAATTCGTGATTTATTGATAATAATAAATGTTACGTAACATGTTTTGAAATTTCATTTTTTTTTTATCAATAATAGCTTTTAGAAAAAGGGATTCGAATACCAGTCTCATCCTCGGTTCAACAAGTTTAGTTGCAGTTGGAATTTATTTGTCGTATTCGTTATATAAAAATACCGATTACGATCGTATTTACGTCGTGTTTATTCAGATTTCACTAGAACTAGTGTGATTTCATCCAATTTCATCATCGCGCAAGACCTTCTGGTTCTCTCTCTCTCTCTCTCAGACGAGTCGAAACGAAACGTCGGCCGCGATTCCGCCGAGGTGGCGGCACGCGAATCGAAAACACGGCTGGTCGAACGTGTCCGCAAGCGTGTCACGTTCGCGAAACACGATCGACCAAGTTTCGTTTCCACCGATGCCGCGGAGAAGAGAAGCGGCGCGCGATGATGGAAACGGCCCACGCGCCCGTTCAAATCGGCGAGCATTGTCATTCCCGCTGCATTCCACAGCCATTCCTCTCCTCCTCCTCCTCCTCCCTCTCTTCCTCGCTCGCCGATACATCTTACCATTTCGAACCGCCCCCGTTGCTCCCCGCGCGCCGCTCTTAAATAGGACGTTGAACCGTGCTCTACGAGCTATCAACTCGCTTACGGTACCCGGAGAAGAAGAGAGGAGAGAAGATTGGGGCTACGACTCTTC